TTTGATGGCATCTCGATCTCAAATCAATCTTCAAAAATATTGTTCCTCCCCTTAATTGATCCATCAAATCATCGATCCTCGGAAGCAGATACTTGTTCTTGACCGTCACCTTATTCAACTGCCGGTAATCCACACATATCCTCATGCTTCCATCCTTCTTCTTCACCAAGAGCATTGGTGCTCCCCACGGTGACACACTCAGCCTCATAAACAGTTTTTGCAGCAAATCCTTTACTTACTTCTTGACCTCTGCCAACTCCACTAGTGACATCCTATAAGGTGCCACAAAAATCGGGCTCGTTCTCAGAATGAGGTCAATAGCAAACTCTATCTCCCTTTCTGGCGGCAATTCAGAAACGCCCTCAGAGAAAACTTCTAAGAAGTCCTTCACCACTGGAATATACTCCGGCTCCACCACATTTTCGGCCTCCATCGAGAATATCATCATAAAGGCCTTGGTGTTTATTATGTTCTCCCACGCTCCCTAGCCCATAAGCCTTGGAACCTCTGTCATTGTCGCGCCAAAGATCAAAGTCTTCTCCCTACAGTCCAGCAGTACATGGTTGGCAACAAGCTAATCCATCCCCAGAATTACATCCAGTTGAGAAAGAGGTAGACAAATCATGCTTACCTCAAACTCCCTGCCATGTACCATTATCGGGCATCCCAGACACACCCATGACGTCATAACTGGCTTACCCGTAGAGGTAGTCATCACAACATTGCATGGCAGTTTGGTCACATATAAACCCCAGACTCTTCACACAGTCCATAGACACAAAAAAGTGCGTAACACCTGACTCAAACAATACATCCAATAATCGACCTATAATAATGCATTTACCTCGAATCAGCTCCTTAGATTGTGAAGCCTTTGCCCCAGTCATAGCAAAGACTCTCCCGAGAATACTTGGCTTCTGCCTCGTACTCAGTCCTGCACTTCCTCTTGATTCAGGCCTTTGAGCTGTACTTGCACTGCCACTCCTCCTAGTGGCCCAGCACACATTAGCAGTGTGCCCCTGCTTTCCACAGTTGTGGCAAGTTATCTTTAGCTGTGGGCAGTCCTTCACCATGTGTGGCCCTCCACACCTAAAGCATTTCAGCAGTCCTCTGAAGGAACTCAATCTTGAGCCACTCCCACTGCTCTTCTCTTGGGAAGAACTCCCTCAGGATTAAGAACTGTTCAAACCCAAATATGGTCCCTTGGAGAACCTCGGGGGTCTCCTATCATGTCTCATGGGGCCAGCTCTCCTAGTGTCCACTATCTTCCCCATTGTGTTTGCTTCAAAGATTCTGCTCTTACTCACCAAAGTGGGCAAGTCCGTCAGTTGAAACACACTAACAGCAGCTCGGATGTCTGGCCTCAATCCGTTCTCAAATTGAAAACACAACTCTTCCTCTCCATCCTCATGCTGGAAATGAGGACAGTACTTCATCAGCTCTTAGAATCTCGCAGCATACTCCCCCACAGTCATATTTCCTTGCTTCAGCTCAAGGAACTCTCTAGCCTTCTGCTTTCTCAGATCTCAGGGAAAGTAATTCCCTAGAAAGATTGCCTTAAAAGTTTCCCATTGGATGTAGCCACCTTCTTGTGGCAGAGTCTAACCGGCAAACCTCCACTAGTCTTCCGCCTCGCCACACAGCAAGTGGCATAGGCCACCTTGTGCTCCTCACGGCACCCCATGGCATTAAAGACTTTCTCTACATCAGCCACCTACCTTTGGGCTCCTTCGAGATTGAACCCTCCCTCAAACTTTGGAGGATCGTGCCTAGTGAAGGCCGACAATCCTTGGTATTCAGCCGACTCTCCGCCTTGATTATGCACTAAGGCTTCCAGCATCTGAGCTATGCGCTCCATGAGATCGTTAGTGCTTCTAGATTCACTACCTCTACCAGACTTGATTTAGCTAAGCTAATCACAATTCAGCAAACCATATTCCAGCACATCAGATCAATCAATACATTTACATTTTAGGCAAGCAAAACAATCAACACTTAACCATGGACGTCTCAGCCCAATACCCCAGTCCGGTTGGATGAACTGCTCTGATACCAAATTGTAACACCTTAAATTTAATTTCAAATAGATAACAATTTTGCAAAATTCGAATAATAAATTTCTTTAAAATATTTCAAAAATGAGGAAGGATTAGAAGATCATATCAAACAACTACTACAGGGCTAGTTCAAATACAAATTTTAAAATATTATCCTAAGCCCTATAGCAATTCATCTGTCCCTTCACTATGTTCAGTGATGATCGTCTTGACTACCTGAAAAGTGAATATAAGGGTGAGTACTCTACACTACCAAGTACAATCAAATATAGAGTCTCACCTTCAAACCATTTAAATATTCAGCAAGTAGATAGTACATTCACAAGCAACATTTCAGTACAATTCGTTTAAATTAAAATACTGATGCACTTACTGCACTTATAGCAGTTCATACTCATCATTCACAACATATTCCACTGGCGTTAGCACGCCCCCCTCACAGCATATTACACTGGCAATTACTCGCCCCTCTTCACAGTATTTATACCGGCGACAACTCGCCCCATCCTTAGTGTTTAAACTGGCAACAACTCGTCCCATTCTCAACATTTATATCGGCAGTTACCTGCCTCATTCACATTATTTCACAATACACGGCTCTAGGCCCATATTCATTTATAAAACACGGCACATAGCCTACCATTATCCATAACACACAACAATTTATCCACAGTCATGTTATACTATACGACACCTAGCCTATGTTCAGTCACAATTCATGGCACGTAGCCCACATTCGGTTCTATTATACGACACTCGGCCCACACTTGTTCACACATCATCAAGCACAGTAAATTTCATCAAATACTCATATTCTTATCCACACACATAATACTCACAAGCCCTGGCACATGGCCCTCATCACCTTCTATGACCATTTCCCTTCCCTATACATTTTCTACCCTCCAACTTAGCTACATTTTCATATTCAATCAATTTCTCAGTTAATTACACGTAAAAAGAGCAGGGTAGAGTCTCCCTTTACCTCGGATTGAAAACCCACACTTAGATTCAATTTTGATCTAACATCAAAATTTTCAAGATATAACAACAGTTTTTGAATTATAACATACATTAAATAATAAAAAAATTATCACTTAATTGATAGACTAATATGTCTTATTTTAATATTTCTAGTCTCTACATAAATTATGAAGAGAGTCTTTTCAACAATAAAGATTGTTAAAAAAGACTTTGAAGCAAAATAAATGATAAATTTATTATAAATAGTTTAGTTGTTTATATTAAAAATAACATTGTTAGTCTATTTGGATGTGAATTACGTAGTTACTAAATATTGATATTATTTTACCATATTTAATTCTTATGTAACCAGATAATTATATTTATTAGTTAGTAATATATGGTTATATGTTACTAATTGTTAATCTTGTTGCTACTTTTAAAAGCAAAAGTGTGTACAATTATGCTTATCAAAATTCAAAATATAAACAAATTAATATAATATTTATTATGACAATGTTAAATGGCTAAGGATCGAAGAAAAAGAAGACATGTGTGGAGTTAAAAAAAAGAAGAAGAAGGTTTCATCTTTAGGCGAAGAAAATGTTTGAGTGAAGAAAGAAGAAGGGACAACACCGTATAGTGAAATCACGACAAATTCTAGTAAACGAAAAAATGTCACCTTTTTTTTTATTATTATTATTTGAAGAGACGAGAAATATACTATTATCATCTAAGAACAACAAAAATTGAAGAAAGTAACCCTCTGTTCCTTATAGAAAATAACATGGCAAGGTTTCAATAATTTATTTGACGAAAATGTCTCTCCATATGTTTCTTCTACTAGATGTAAATATATTTTTGTGAAAATGCTAGCATAATATTTTACGGTATAAAAAATGAGTTATCCCTTTTTGAGAGTTTATATGTCTTTTAGGATTCTTGAAAAAATATCATTTCAATTTTGTCAAGAATTTCATGAGATTATACATTAAATATATCATTTTCTGTTCTTTGTAGAATTAAGTTTGTGACACTTTTTTTTTTCTCAAAACATAATTCATTATGTATGTGTTGACAAAAAAAAAAACCTATATATATAGATACAAGTATTTTTAATTTTTATATGGGCAATAACTCCATTATTATTTTTATCTTTTTTTTTCATTTAATCTTATTCAGACATAAACAATTTCAAAAATAATTTTAATTTAAAGTTAATGTTGATTAATTAGACTTTATACACAAATTGTATTAACTAACTAAATTTAAAGCAACATTTCTCTCCAGCATATTACATTAACAAACAATGTCTAGCTCCACTACAACAGTATCCAGAAAAAAAAAATGGAAATAACATACAGTCAATATTTAATTCATCAAGTCAACAAAAGAGTTGAAGTGCTCCCTATTTTCAAACACAAACCTTTTGTTACACCGTAAGTAGGTGTTGGGGGATTTCCTGGCACAAACTTGTTGTTTGCAACTGTTACCTCTGTGAGTGAAACCAATTATCTGCTGTATGAAAAATAAAATAAAAATAATCAATTAAATGTACTTATTATTAATTAGTTATTCACTATATTTAAATTGACTTGTAACATTCAATTATTATTTCTTCTCTTGTTTATGAACTTGAGCTTACTATATGAATTCTACTCACGTAGGAAGGTGCCTTTGGCTATAACAATAATTAAGCAAATTATATAACGGTAAATTAAATTATAATTGTATTTATTAATAAGAGCGACAGTTTCCAATGGAGTCCTTAAACTAAAATTTAAATAAGAATATAAATGGTAGATTATTAGGGTTTAAACCTTTGACTAACTTATAGATGTGAATCAATCCTTGCCATTGGATCTTTGTAATCAATTATCCTTGTAGTTAATGCAGTCTAGTTCTCTTCTATTAAGGGACACAAACTAAGTGTGTCTTGAAACACAATTGCTCCCTCGTTCTTTCATACTCTTTTTGTTCATGGATCCTGAGACAAGGTTCAAAGAAATTTCTTTGCAGCCTATGCATTTACAAGAAAGTTTCTTGCAATCTAGTATGAAATACAATATTTCTTATGGGAATCCCTCTCAGGAATTTTTGGAAGATTTTCATTATAGTGATCAGTTTCACGTGGATGATTCCTCGACCAATCCGATCCAATTTCAAACTCCAAATTTTGATGGTTTTGATAATTTCACCTTTAATTGTTCATCATCAGATTTTGATGTTTATGAGTGCAAGCCTTTTGCTGAGAATACTAGCAATGGGCATCCTCATGTTTGGAACAATTTCCTATATAGCTTGAGCCTTCCTCAAAGAAATCAGTTAGACATGATGGTTGCAAACCAAAATTTTTTTCCTTTTAATCCTCAAGAAACCAATCCCATGAATTTTGTTGCACCAGATGAAGTCTCGTGCATTTTTCCTGTAAATTATTACAAAGAAGTTGGAGTGAACAAAAACAATAGGTCATATCCAACCACTAGAAGGACATATAAAGTTCCTAAGAAGTCCAACATGGTAAAGGGCCAATGGACAGTAGAAGAAGACGGGTATGAAAAATTTCAAATAATTTCCATTTAAATGTTTTTATTTTTTTCGTTATTCAATCTTCATACATAGCTTTCTTTGTTTTTTTTTCAATAAAATAAAATAAAATGTGCATCTACATGCTCGCTTAAACAGGTTGTTGATTCAACTGGTGGAACAACATGGATTGAGGAAGTGGTCTCATATTGCTAAGGTATTGCCTGGAAGAGTAGGAAAACAGTGCAGAGAGCGATGGCATAACCATCTAAGGCCTGACATTAAGGTATTAATTTATTTATCATATTATTATATATGCACACAATAATATATTATATGTTTTAATTGTTCTTGTGCATTTATGCAGAAGGACAATTGGACTGATGAAGAGGATAAAATACTAATCCAAGCTCATGGAGAGTTAGGAAATAAATGGGCTGAGATTGCTAAAAGGTTACCAGGTAGAACTGAAAACTCAATCAAAAACCATTGGAATGCAACCAAGAGAAGACAATATTCCAAAAGAAAGTGTCGCTTAAAGCACCCTAGAGGCACTCTTTTGCAAGACTATATCAAGAGCTTGAACTTAGACAAGAACCCTCCAATAGATTATAGGAGAAAATCTTCTTCTAATTATGCTAGTGCCATGAAGAACAAAACTAGCACAAGCAAAGTCACCATACCAACTCTTCCCCTAACAGCAGATCAATTTTGTGCCAATGATTGCTTGGTGCCAAATTATGATTTTAATGGGGTCCCAGATTTTTTATTTGCTGAGAATTTGTTTGAAGAAGGGTGTAGTATTGATTCTCTCCTAGATGGTATGCCTTGTGCTCCTACTTTGGATAAGCAAGATTTTGAAGAAAAAATGCAATGTGATCCTATTAAGGAAGGAAAATATTTTGATCAGGGAGGAATAAAATGTGCTCATGTTGTTAATATCAGTGAGAATCATGCTGAGACAGAGATGCCACTAGAGATTATGGAGCCAATTTTGGAGGTTGAAATTAAGGAGGAGCTGGATTTAGTAGAGATGATGTCTCAGGTCAATAATGAAATTGTTCATGAGACATTATAATATTTGTTTCAAGCAAGTATTATTCAAGAAAATTTAGAGGGATGATGTAGAGATGGAAAAGAAATGGAGAGAATGTGGCTACCAATGTACGGGGAGAGAAGGGAAAAAGTAAAATGGTAATAATTATCGATAAAAAATAATATTATTACTAATAATCATGTTAAAGTATATTTCATGTTTCAAATTACCAGCATTGAGCAAATGGAAATAAAATGGCATTTGAGTGGCTTTAGTTTACAGATTTTATGAAGTTTAATTGTTACATATTAAGGAACTCAGCGATGTGGCATATTTGCACTTTTGGATTTCAATTGTTTAAGGACACATGATAGTATCCTTATGTTTTATATGCAAGAACATGAGCTTTTGAATTGCGTTGTTTTCATTTTTGTGGGACAATGTTTGAAATTATTAGTTTTCTAACAAACATTTACACACACAAGCTTATAATTATCATTATCATTATTTTGGATAAATTAATGGCCATTGTAGGTGAAGAAAGATGTAGAAAAGTCAAATTAGAGGACAAAACAATGACAGAATGAAACTTAATGATTGTTTTCTTATTTAATTGCTCCTTTAAAAATTTTAATTTATTTCAAATTTAAAAAGTATTAATTTTTTATTTTTCTTCTTATTTCATGATTTCTCTGCACTGTGAAATAACAAACATTGATAAATGAAAAGAATAAGTTATAAATATGTTATTTTCTTAAAATTAAAGATTTTGATACTTTTCTTAATTTTTATGCAAAACCTTAAATTAGAGAAAGTATGTTGTCGGAACAAGAGGACCTATTCAAGTAAATGGAACTGAAAAAATCAATTAAAGAATGCGTAATTGAGAAATTTAATGTGTTTGTTTCTGTTAAGATTCATTAAAGGCTTAATGCAGTTTTAATTGTAGTGCTAACGCCCAGCAAGCCAAAACTGAATTAAACGAAATATCTGCAACCGATTACCAAGGAGAGGTATTTGAGATGTTAATACAAAAGATATATAGAACTGTTTAAAAGAGTTTATCAACCATTTAATATATTATATTTTTAATTTATTTCAACATTTTTATTGTTAAATTTATTTTATAAAATATTAAATAAAGTGCTTAAATAAGTTATGTATGTATTCAAATATTAATTTATTTTTACCATCCAAATGCATATCCTAATAGAAAACTACGAGAAAATATAATGATCAAAGTATAACACCCAAATGAAAATTGAATTAAATGAAATATTTGTTATTATTTACCAACCCAAGATTTCGAGAATTAATACAAACATATATATTTTGATTTGTATGTAAATCTATTTTTATCACATATACACGTTCTCATAAAAAAATTAATAAAAAATATAATAATTAAAAAATTAGAGTTGAGTTTTAAAAAATTGAATTGCTAACGCCTAATATATATTCGAGACATTAATACAAAAGATATATACTTAGGTTTTGATTTACATTTCAATGTTTTCTGGTTTAGATTTATCTAGTGTTATCAATTCAAGTTGTTTGGCCTTCTCAAATTACCTAACATCGAGCAGTAGACTAATGCGGGTCAAACTAAAAAAACGTATGAAACAATTTAGATCCTTAAAATGATAATTTAAGTAAGGCTCTATAGAGCAGCAAGCTTAAGTGGACTGTTTGTTTTATTATATTTAAAAAAAAATATTTTAATATGTATAAAAAAAGATTATATTAACAATATATTTTAAGCACATTAAAAGTTAAAACGTTAAATAACTTCTTCCAATAAAATTGAAATAAACATTTCAAATATTTAAAATAAATATTTTAATTATACTCAATTTTAAAACTTTTTTAGTAAGCTTTGTGCACTTAACTATTTTTTTAATTTTTTTTACTATTCAACAGGACGTGCAGTTTAATACAAGTAAAATTTAAAACAAGAGATCTAAGAAGCAAGAAGTTACAAACATCCAAACTCAAAAAAGAGAAAATAGAAGGAGGGGATCCTCAAACTAAGAATAATGTGAGCAGAGACTTAACCCTATTTTAATAAAAAAAATCAACACACAAATTGGCTTCTCTACATATATGCAAGATTTTAAAGTTTTTATAATACTACATATTAAAGGAAATAAATGGTAGGAAACTAGTTGCACATTCAGAATAAAAGCAACAACTTATTTGAAATCAGACTCAAACAAATTGTAGGAATATTAAGCTGGACTACCTACTAAACACCCAAATAAATGCTCTAAAGCTTAGTAGGCAAAAGGGAATAGAAGTTAATCTTATTGTAAAAACTAACAATAAACTTCCCTTTGGTGTCACGAAGCAGGCCACTACAAGCAGCGACTCTACTAGATAGTCCCATCAACATTCAACTTAAGTTGATCAACAAAGGGAGAGATACATCTTACATCCCTTTGATCTACAACTAGATTAGGTAGAGAAGAAGGCTTATTCATGCAACACAGAGTAATAGTCAGTATCATAGAAGGCTTTAAGAGCTAAAACAGTAGGCTGAACAAAATGATTTTTTGGAAAATGAATTATTCCTATCTTTCCACATGTACCAAATAACAACTCTAAATAACAAATTTTAGTTTTGAAAGTTACATAAGTAAGAGAGATAAATTAGTTAATAACCAACTAGAAAGTCCAATACTAAAGAAATTCACCAACTAGTTTGGAAAAATAAAATGATTATAAACCGCCTTGTCATAAAAACAATCTCTCAACACATACATAATAAATTCAGGGGTTTCACCACACCTATAATAGATTGAAGAATTAGACATTTTTTTCTTAAATCTTTCCTCATTGGTAAGTAATTTTTCATAAACAAATTTCCAAAGAAGAAAGGTCATTTTAGGAAGTCCTCCCTATTTCCAAATAAATTTAAATAGATCCTGACCAGTGACAAAATAATGGACAAAATTATAAAGCAGCTAGTACATAAACTTAATTAAAAAAAAGAATCCATTACTAATTAAAGTCCAAAACATAGAATCAAAACTATCAAACCTATCTAAGAGCCTAATCTGAGCAACTAACTAACAAACCTGAATAGGAAGAACATATTGTATTTTACCCTTGTCCCAATTTCCATTAGCAGCGAGCATAGCAACAAGAAAATCTAAATCCAAAGCAGGAATAAAGATATCAAACTAACTAGATAGCTAACTAAAATTAAGGACCCAATTATCATAATACCAAGGTATTTACCTAGTTGATTAGAAGGATTTATTCTTAAACAATCAAAGATAGACTTACTAAGATAGAGATCATTATTTTTAGAGAAGAAAATAGAAGATTTATTATTATTGATTTTTAAAGACTTTTTTTAATTATATTAGTTTGCTAGATGTTATCTTTAGCAACTATATAATGTCATCAACAAAAGAGATGTGATTTTTAGACCCTTGTTTACTAAAGGAAAAATGTGTCAACTATTCACTCATGATTTTGTCTTTAATTAAATGAGCAAGTCTCTATACAAAGTACAAAAATGTAAGGTGATAAAGGTTCTCTTGACGAATGCCTCTGGATGAAAAAAAAAAAAGACTCAGAAAAACAAGTATTTTAATTAATGAACATAGAAGAGGAAGAAATACAAGAATGAATTAGATTGACCATATCACTATTAAGACCAATTTTCTAAATCGTTTCAACAATAAAGATTCATCTAAGCCTATCATAGGCTTTTACTAAACCATATCTTATATATACTCCTACGTTTTATAGCAAAGAAAGAATGGGTTCATTCTTGCATAATTAAGGTATTACCAATATCCTATCTACTAGGAATTAAACTGGTTTGGTTGGCTAAAATAGGTGAGGAATATAACACCTTGAATTTAATTTCAATTTAATAATAATTTCACAATTTAGAATAACTAATTTTCATAAAATACTTCGAAATAAGGGAAGGATTACAAATTAATATCAAATGACTGCTATAAGACTAGTTCAGTTACAACAATTTCACAATAAAAGCTAAGTCCTATAGCAGTCCATCCATCCTTTCACTGAGTCTGGTGCTGATCGTCTTGATTACCTGAAAAATGAATGTAAGGGTGAGTATTCTACACTACCCAAAAACACACAATCAACGTAGAGTCTCACCTCCAGAACATTTCCAATACATTAAACAAACACAATCACAAGTAACATTATCACATAACTCATGTCGATTTAACACCGATGCACTCACGACATCGGCAACATTTCACATCTATAAGTACAATACATAAACTCATGCATATGCATGCCAGTCACACTCACTGTGGCATTGTGATCACTGATTTCCACTATGAATGGTCGCCGGTTACCCTCACCCTACGGATACCACGTGGGCAGTCACGGGTCGCTCAATAAAGGTAATGGTCAGAGGTATAGTCAAGAAGAGAGTGTGTGGCCCGTGGTGCACCCGTTCCACAGTCGGTGTCACCACCACTCCCCCTTCTCCAAGGTATTTCTACCGTCCTCATCTTCCACACCCTCAGTGTATCGCTGAACCATTCACAGCACATTACAACAGCGCTAACACGCCCATTCACACATATATTCCATTCACGCATGCAATAATTATGCTTACACACAGCACACAGCCCATATTGCATTCAAATACACGACACTAGGGCCCACATTCATTTCATATTACACGGCACATAGCCAATATTCATCTATATTACACAGCCCTCGGGCCCACATTTGTTCACAATATTCATCTATCATGCAACATCTTGCATACAATTCACATTCATCCATTTCGGTTAAACACACACAATATTCACATCTCATGGCACACAGCCTTCATTACATTTCTCAACAATTTTCTACCCTCTAACTCAGTTACATCACAATATTCAACAATTAATCGCAAATCACACATAATAGAGTAGGATAGAGTCCCTCTTACCTTGGATTGAAGACCTACACTCGGATTCGACCACGGACGTGCTCCCTACACAGATTTCAACCTAAAACATATGGAAGAACTCCATGAGAACCCAAGGAAACCCAGA